CAACCATATTGATCATCTCTATCTCCCTCCTCCTGTTTTTACTCCAGTTATGTTCCAAAGCTTTGGCCACGTAGATTTCAAATTTAACGACTCAAGCCAAGTTCAAAACCTTTACAATCCTGATAATTTGGTCATCGCACCAACAAATCACCATTCTTTTCTTCCATCTGATTATGATCCTCATATAACGACCCTTCCAGATTCAGATTCATCTTCCGCATTCAATCATCAGCCCCCATGGGCATTACCAGATCTCCCAGCCTCCATTTCTGCCACTTTCCAAGAAACCCAAGTCGTTGAAATATCGTTTCAAGATTATGTTGGACATGACGACAAGCTCATCATCGATCCAATGGTCTCGCTATCACCATACGACGATGACCCTCTTCATCATTCCTTGGTCACCACCACAGTGATCCCAAGCACAGTTTCAAAGTTATCAGAAGAGGTTCTTGAAGGGAAAGCAACATCCCACCCTCGTGGCTTGCACGTGTCTGCGGCGGATCATGACGACGACGATGATGATGATCATCAAGTGGATTCATACATCAACTCTATGATCATGCCATCATTGCAATCATCCTCCTCCCCATCGCCGGTCTCCAGCAGACAGTACGTTGCAACAGTACCAAACCCTAGTACTACTAATACTACTACTACAATGTCTAGGTGGGATCCCTAGACATGGATATTTGAAACATAGAATTATAATCTGCATATTATATATATATATATATAGGGAGAAAAATATAAATAATAAATCCATGTGTTGAAAAACCTTTACTATATAGCATCTCGTATAAGGAATGGTATCTGTTCATTAAATATTTTCGAAATGTCATTGTCGGAGAAGACAACCTAAAATGTTACTAGTTCAGGTTATTTGTGTGAGTAATGAAGAGCTATTGCAGTGTTCTTCAATAACTACATATATGTAATAATCCTTTTTATTTATACTTGACCGCATACACACACATATATATATATATTCGCGTATGTAGGTATATGTGTATGTAAATGCGCTATGTACTTCTCGTCGCCTACACATGTGTTTGTGTACATATGGTCAGTTTGTTTTGTCTCTAGCGAAAGAATACTTTTGTTCTGTTCTGCATCTTTGATTTGTCACCTCTCTCTCTGTGATATTTGTGGGGCCCTTAAGGACAGTCACACGGATACTTTAATGCGATTTTCACGTACAAATGTTTTGGTCAACTTGGTAAGATTCTCTTTACACAATATTTCTGAGCAAATTCGAATAAGTATACGCTTTACTTCCCACTTATATATATATATATATATATATATGCATGGATTTGATATCTCATATATGTGTGTGTATATATTTATGCATGAATTCGATTTCTGATTTCCAAGAACACGGGGAGAAGCATAGAAGCCTAACCTTATGAAACCCTGTTTACTTTCTTACAATGTTCTCCCAACTGTCTTCGGATTTAATCAAGAACCATGCTCATTCATCTCAACAGTTAAATAACGAACCCACGCTCCTGTTATTCGTTGTGTTAAAGATCTGGTTGTATCACTTTAAAGAACGCTAGGGTTTAGACTTCACTGCAGCCGGCCGAGGAAGAAAGGAAGACAACACTTGTAAAATTTCTTGGAAATATATTTTTTTAAAGATGTTTAAAAAAAAAAACTTTTTTATAATGTAATTAATGGCCAAACAAATGATCTTATGGTCTTTTATGGATTGCTATACACAGCGTATACTATATGTCTTCCGAGTAAAAACAGCTCACAAGATTTTAGAGTAATCATAGAACACACGTTCATTAATATCCTATGTGAATTCGTATCTGCATGATAATATGAGATTTTATTATGATCTCGAAGTAATATCATTTGACTATATATATATTTATATATGATTGCTATATTTATATACATATCGTCAAGTAGAATGGATTTTTTTTTTTTTTTTGTGGTGGATTTGGTGGTCAGATCAGGCAGGGTTTTGAAAGGCAGTCAAAAAAATTTCACAACTTGAAAAAAAATAAAAAAAATTTGTCTCATTCCAATTTTTATTACATGCTGATGTATACGGAATCAATTGGGTCAAAGAGTAGTGGACCGTCAAAGGGACGTGGATACCATTTACAATAACATTAATACGTTATTTAAGCAAACTTATTTTGAATAGACCATAACGAACACAGGATATGGTTGCAACTGCGAACGGTGCAGCTGCTGAGGTTTACAACTGCGTTTGCATCATGAGCAAACCCGTCATCAATCATCATCAAGCTTTTGCATCTGAAACTGTGTTCTGAGGATAGATATATCGAAAAACCGACATGCAAAGACCGCTATTTTCCGAGATTCAACATTCGGATCTCCGGAAAAAGTAAAGGAAGTAGGGGAAGTTTATCAAATGCCGAGGATTAAACTGAGTTTCAACGCAGAGATCCATTGTTCTTGAGTACATTTCCGAAGAAGGAGAACCTAAGCTGTGATTCTTGAACGCCCTTTCGCTATTCTTCGTGCAATCACTCTTCTCCCTCCCTTTGTAGCTTTTCTGTCGGGTATTTAGAAAAAGGATTCAGTCATGATGCATACAAACAGTTCTGATACTAAGCAGTCGAATTTGAAACTGATTTGTGATCAAAACTCAGAAGAAGAGAAGCTTTAGGAATTCAATGGTTTCTGCTGAGATAATAGATTTTTCGGATGAACAAGTAAGAGAAGGAAACCTTTATCCATAGGAGAATAAGAACATTAAACATAAGAAACATACCGAGCAAAGAACCCATGGTTTCGTTTGCGCCTAATAGTGCTCGGTTGGAACGTCCTTTTGGGAAACAACAGCAATGGCTCGCTTGATGAATCAACTACAGCACCAAAATACACAAATATCAGGCACACACCACAATCCGGCAAAATCCACAGGTCAGTAAAGGGGGAAAGGGTAGTAGTATCGATGTCACGGGCTTTGTGTGCGTGTGCCTGTATGCAATGTGAGATAGGCCTGTAAACTTATCGGCTTTTTGGGGAGCCTAGACTAACCAGGGTCACATAAATACACAACCCAAGAAAGGGTCAACTCAGAAAATAAAGATGAGTTTTCAAATAATCGTCATACCATAAGGGACCTAAAAGAATCCAGAATCACTATGCCCTGTACTTCCAAGAAAAGTTTTCAAATAATATACAGAGAGTGCAATGGATCATGAACCATCACAATCTAACGAATTTCATCAACCATCATGATTCAACCAACTTCATCATGATTCATGAACAAGCTCTATCTAAACCACACCGCCTGCTGTATCTCGTTTACGATAGACATGCAAATGCTATCCTCTCGCAGGCACAAGACAACACTCGGTAGAGGTGTTCCGAGCAATCCATCCCAATAATAAGCATTTTTTTAAAGATGAAGTCCAAAGAAAAACAACTAAACTGAGCTCTTCTACCACAGAATTTGTGAAACCAAAAGAAGAATAGCCAAATTGCGGAATCCAGAATATAAGAATTTGTGAAACCCAAAGCAGAATAGCCAAATTGTGGAATCCAGGATAAAAGAAAAATGCTATAGTCTAACTCGTTTTAACCTCACAGACAGAAATCCATATCAAACATAACAGACAAGGTGAAAACTTTGAAGTGTAGACACAATCTAGACAAGTTTTTAATAGCCCTTAGGATACATGACTTGCTCAATCGTCTCAATCCAAATAGCAAATGCAACAAGCAGTGATTTTCACTTGGAAGACTTGACCGGAAAATTGAATTTTTATTACCATTTCAATTATCTGAATATGGTGATCGGTTAGGCTATCAATCACATTCATATGACAACAAAAGTTCAGTTCATGTAGAATCAGAGCAAATGCCAGTCCTTGTACCTTGTTCCGACGGACACAAAGACAGAACAAAAGCCATACACAGACAAACATACGCAGAGATGCATACATACACGCAAAAGCGTCTCTACATAAGAACTAAGAAGAGAGAGAGAAGGAGAGGGAGAGGGAGAGGGAGAGGGAGAGGGAGAGGGAGAGAGAGAGAGAGACGTACCTTCGGGTAAGAAGAATTCAAGGGAAGGAAGACCAGAGGGATAAAAAAACCTCTTGAGAGGAGAGCTCGTGTAGCGAAATAGTGTCGCTAGGGCGCGGATCCAGCGAGCTCTGTAGCTTCGACAGCGACGGGAACAGATACGGAGAGACTTCCTGACCCTGGGGAACTACATGCTGAGCCGATCCCAATTTGTTCTGCAGAAAATACGATGTGACCTCCTGACCCTGAGGAACCACTTGCTGAATCGATCTAACGTTGTTCTGCAGAAGATTCGTTGTTGGATTCGACAGGAATCGGTTCATCAGCGAAGCTCCCGCCTTGGCTAGGGTTTTGGTCGCCATTCTCTTCTTCGTCGAGACTACTACGATGGCTCCGAGCACCGGTCGAAAAAACTCTAGCGAAAGAGAATCGAACTATCAATGGGTTTTGGGCTTCGGCCCAATTTCAGGCCGTTTTGGTGGTAACTTCAAAAAAAAAAATATAATTTGAAAAGTTTATTTTCATTTGAAGTTTTAGATTTACAATTCAATTTGTGATTTATTGTAAAAATAATTTTTTTTTATTTAATAACTAAAATCTTGATTAGTATTGCCTTCCAGAATTTCAAAACGAAATTCCCTACCAATCTATTAATCAAGTTTCTTTTTTAGTTTTAGTTTTATTCCAAACTAAAAAATTATTTTAAAAACACTAAATTTATAAGAAAAATTCAATATCCCTAAAATAATTTTTTATTATAAAAATAATTTTTTTTGAACCGAATAACTAAATGTTTCTAATAGTGGTTTTGAAAATTTTAATAATCTTGAGGATTTTTTTACCAAAATCCCCCAATAACAACAAAACAATAATAGTACTTAGCTCAGATCATTAAGGATTTACCCTTTTTTCCTCAGACTCTAACAAAAATAATCAGATATCTCTCGTTGGATAACCGGAACAAGTTTCACATGAATTCCTTTGGTCCATTATCCATATATATATATATATATATGACTGATACAATGAAAAGAATCTGTGAAGAAGTTTCAGAAAAACAACCAATACACGACCAGGACAACTTATCTTTCAAGTCAAAGAACAAGCATACACAGAAGTTTCATCTTCAAAACCAGTCGAGTTCAAGTTCTCAAACAGCTGTTCCAAACTTGTGTAGATCATCTGGCTCGACCCGTGAGACCAGTCTCCGACCATGAAAGAATGAAGCTCGCTGCCTATCTCAATCCAGCTCATGCCCGGTTCTTTCTTAACCCCTCGACCCCTCATCAGTTCCCTCACTTCCTCAGCTGAAGATTCGATCCCAGCTTCATTGTATATGTTATACAGCAATACATATGTTCCAGAGGCATCTGGTTCAAGATCGATCAACCTTTCCGCTACTCGTTTCCCTATAACGCTGTTCTTGTAAACCCTGCAAGAACTCAGCAATGCCCTCCACATCACAGGATGGTCTTGAAAACCCGATCTCAGGATCAGATTCTCGGCTTCTGATAATCTCCCAGCTCGTCCAAGAAGGTCAACGATGCAGGAGAAATGCTTCTCGTCTGGGTTTATCCCGTAATCCTTCTTCATGCCTTCAAAAAGCTTCAATCCTTCTGTAATCAGTCCTCCATGGGTACAAGCAATTAAAACTCCAAGAAACGTCTGGTGGTTTGGTTTGAGCCCATGATTTGGCATTGACTTGAAGAGGTCTAATGCATCATTGCCAAGCCCATGCTGTGCAAGGCTACAAATCATAGCAGAGTATGTCGCAATGTCGGGATTCGCCACCTCTCTGAAGCTTTTATTAGCAAACTGCATGTTTCCCGATTTTGCGTACATACAGATGGTTGAGGTCTTGACACAGGTAAAGTTATCGATTCCACTTCTTATGGCATAACCCTGAAGCTGCTCTCCCATTCTCGAGGCAGCAAAGTCTGCACAAGCACTCAACATGAGTGAAACAGTAAACTCTTCTGGTTTTACTCCAGACAAGAAAAGTTGACAGAACAGATCACACGCACTTTCGAACTGCTCGTTCTGAATGAAGCAATCAATCATTGATGTCCACGAGGCAATATCTCGCCTTGATGTTGAACCAAAACATTTCATCCCGTCTTCCGTTGAACCCAACAGAGCATACAACTCGATTAGAGCACTTCCAATAAACTCATCAGCCTGAAAGTTGTTCTTACATACAAGGGCATGGATTTGCTTTCCATACTCCAATGCTTTCACCACATTACAAGCCTTTAGCATGGTTGAAAGTGTTGATGCTGATGGTTTCAGTCCCCGCCTTTGCATTTCCATGAAGAGTTCAAAGGTTTCAATTACAGATTCATCGGTTATATCATCCAACTGAAGAAACCCTGAAAGCATTGCGTTATACATAACCACATTCTTGTCGGGCATGAGGTTGAAAATCTTGACCGAATCTTTCAACCTTCCATTTTTAGCATACATGTCAAGCAATGCAGTACCAACTACCACATCCGATTCCATCCCCAGTTTTGTTACGTACCCATGAATCGCCATCCCTTGAGCCATCGATTCGTAATCAAAATTTAAGCAACACGCCTTGAGCGAACTCCCTAGAGTATAAGTAGTCAACTTTAGACCATTTCTATGCATTTCAGCCAAAAGATTTAACGGTTCTTTGGTTGCACCAATCCGAACATAACCAGAAATCAAAGAGTTCCATGAAACTTGATCCAGCTCCTTCGAATTATCAAACAAGTACCTAGCTTCATCCAGCTTCCCACACTTACAGTACATATCGATCAACACATTGATCAGAAACACTTGTTCAGCCAATCCATTGACAGTAACCAGTCCATGAAGCACCTTTCCCAGTTCAAGATGACAGCTTTCTCCACAAACACTCAAAGCACCAGCATAGGTGAACTTATCAAGCTTCAATCCAGATTCTCTAGCTTCAACAAACAAATCCATGACACGATCGTGATAACCCATCTGGGTGTACCCAGAAATCAGAGAATTGAACGAGATTATATTTCTCTGAGGCATTCCGTCGAGCAGGTAGCGTGCGAAGCCCAGTTCCCCACACTTGCTGTACATGTTGAGCATATTGTTGAGCAAGAACAGGCACGGATTGAAAGATGTCTTGATCATACGGGCATGGGCGAGTTTTCCCAGAACCATGGAACCCGATTTGGCGGCTGTCTGAACGAGTTTCGTGTAAGTAACAGAATCTAAAGCCGTGCTCTTTGGTCCGCATGGCGAAGGAGAAGCCTCGCAACTTGTTCCAAATCGTTCGGAAAGATGAGTGGTGCAAGAAGCTGCACAGTTCTTGTTGGAAAGAATCTTTGTTCGGAAGATCAGAAGCATGTTCTTCCATCACTCGTTAGCTCTTCATGTTTTTCCCGTAAAAAAAACGACGTCATTTAGTATTTTATTAGACGGTATTTAGACATTATTATTTACTTGATAAAAAAATGATTTTGATGATCTATTTTTTTAGCTAATTTTATTTATCAATTTTGGAAAATTCTAAAGGTTAATTGAAATTAAACAATTATATTTTGCATAGAACTAACTAAAAATATGTTCTTTATTTAATTACAATAATACGGTTTTTTTATTAATAATATAATTCATACCGCAAGAGCTTGGGCAAAATATTAAGGTTATATTATATTACCACAGCAATTATAAAAATATTTGTTGTTTTAATATTTGAATCGGACGGTGGAGGATTTACAAATTAGTAAACGGGGCGGCGATCGCACCGTCCAAACTTTTTCAGGAAGGCCAGGGCGGCGAGTGGGCCCACAAAAAAGCCTTTTGGGCTGTGGAAATGCTGTGGGACCCATTGTCTTTTGGTCCAACCAATATATAATTACGTAAAGTTTAATCCATATTTCAACAATGGCATACTATACACGATTGAAATGAGGTTGGCCATTATGTTCGTTGAAATTACAAATACCTTTCTATATTTATTAAAATTTTACTATATCTCAATTTGTATATAGGCGTATATGATAGAAAAAATATTTATGGTAAAAAAATTAAAAGGCGAATTATAATTGTAAAATATTTCTATTTTTTATAAATTTAATTTAAATCAATTTTGTAATTTTTAATATGTATAAGTGATGTTGTATTAATGTTGAAAATGAGGGATATTGGACAGTAACTTATGATAATCGAATCTAAATTTATAAATGGGAATTCAAACTTAATTAATTTTTTTCCCCAAACATGTTGCTTGTTTATTTGGATGAAAAAGACTGAAATAATTTGCTCTCAAAACCTCCATTTTTTCTTTGCTGACCAAAACAAACCCTCCAAATTCCTTTTCGTAGTTTTGGCAGCCTTCAATTTCCTTCTTAAATTTCTCTCCTTTGTGAAGAAATACGAAAGAAAGATCTCCCCTTTGCGATTTTACCGAAGAATCGAAAGCAGAACCTGGTTTATATATATATATATGTATATATATATATAAAGTGAAAGGGACGTCTGGCATTCTTTGAAAAATCTTTCCTTTTGTTTTTGGCTTTCTCTCTTCTTCATAGAGAGCTTTGATCTCACAGACCCAGTCGAGCACGGTTTCTGAAGAACCGCACACCTTTGCTCGATATCTCTCTGAGATCTCTCTCTCCTTCCTCGCATTTTGGAAATCGTTCTTCCGTCCATCTCCGCGTGGCTGGACGAAAAATGGGTACTTTTATATGTCCCTCTTTCTCGGGTTCTCCGGTCTTAAATGCATCTGATATCTTGGATCCGTTTTTTCCTTGATCTGATCAGTTTCTGTTTTGTCTGAACGTTATCCATTATGATGTGGGTTTCGTTTTAAATCTCCTGATTTGGGTGTTGATCGGTCTGTCGAGAATTTGGTTTCTGCTCACCAGATGGTGGGCTTATGATTGTGAAGGTAGTAGATGATTGTGAAGGTTTTAGTTGAGACTAGATTTGTCTGGTTCTATTGGCAATATATATCTCCAGATATATATTGATATATTCAGTTGTATATACGTTTAGATTTGACGCTATCTCTTCCTATTTTAGCTAGAGTTGGTTGTTACGTTTTGTACATAAATAGATGTTCGAGCATATGAAATACAGATCAGAGAAAGACTTTTCTGAAACATCTCTTTTATATCATGGTATCAGAGCCCTACCAATTCTGATTTCGTGTTCTTCCACCGACATTCATGTCTACCACCTCAACCTCACCGACGTCTGCCGATCTGACGGTGTCCTCGACTCCGACACCCGCGACTTTTGAGGCTCCGAGGAGAACAATTTCTCCTTATGATCTGAGTCCCAGCGATAACCCCGGATTGGTTCTCTCGCATCCGTTGTTACGAGGAACCAATTACGAAGAGTGGTCCATTAAGTCGGCTACCCGTTTGGCAAGAAAGGATGGCGTCTATATGACCTGGAGAAGAAACATTTTTTTATTTCACGTGACGTCGCCTTCTGCGAAGACCGGTTCCCCTTCGCTGACCCTGTTCCTCTCCAGCAATCCTCTTCGGAAAATCCTGCTCCGGTTTCGTGGCCTGTGTTACTTGAGGAGGACGGCTCACCAGATGGTGGGCTTATGATTGTGAAGGTAGTAGATGATTGTGAAGGTTTTAGTTGAGACTAGATTTGTCTGGTTCTATTGGCAATATATATCTCCAGATATATATTGATATATTCAGTTGTATATACGTTTAGATTTGACGCTATCTCTTCCTATTTTAGCTAGAGTTGGTTGTTACGTTTTGTACATAAATAGATGTTCGAGCATATGAAATACAGATCAGAGAAAGACTTTTCTGAAACATCTCTTTTATATCATGGTATCAGAGCCCTACCAATTCTGATTTCGTGTTCTTCCACCGACATTCATGTCTACCACCTCAACCTCACCGACGTCTGCCGATCTGACGGTGTCCTCGACTCCGACACCCGCGACTTTTGAGGCTCCGAGGAGAACAATTTCTCCTTATGATCTGAGTCCCAGCGATAACCCCGGATTGGTTCTCTCGCATCCGTTGTTACGAGGAACCAATTACGAAGAGTGGTCCATTAACATCCGACACGCATTGAAATCTCGGAAGAAATTCGGTTTTGTGGATGGCAAGATCCCTCAACCGGATCTAGATTCTCCCGATTACGAGGATTGGGAAACGAATAACTCCTTGATCGTTTCTTGGATCAAGAATACGCTCGAACCTGGATTGCGTTCCGATGTCATTCATCGTGAATTCGCGAGAGACTTGTGGGATTATCTCAAACGCCGTTTCGGTATGACTAATGCCACTCGTCTTCTTCGTCTTCGAGCCGATTTAGCGAACTGTCGACAAAAAGGTATGTCTGTTGAAGCTTATTTCGGTAAGCTAACGAAGTTGTGGGACGATCTTGCGAGTGTTCGTGTATTGAAGAGCTGCAAGTGCGGTCTTTGCACGTGCAACCTTGTGACTGAATTGGAAAAACAAAAACAGGAGGATCGGCTTTATGAATTCTTGCTTGGCTTGGACGACATCAAGTACGGCGTTGTCCGTTCGACGTTGTTGTCCCGAGTTCCTCTTCCCACAGTCGAAGAAGCCTACCTGATCGTTACTCAGGATGAAGAATCGAAGGGTTCTTTGTCTAGGGTTGCTGATGTCTCGGCTTTCTCTGCCGTTTCGGTCGACAAAACCCGTGCGACGTCTGCTGTCAAGGACAAAACGATGGTATGTTCTAACTGCGGTCGCACAGGACATTCGGCGGAGTCGTGTTTTCAAATCCTGGGCTATCCGGAGTGGTGGGGTGATCGTCCTCGGAATCGTACAAATCGTGGTCGTGGTGGTTCCTCTAGCTCTCGTGGCCGTGGAGTGGCTCGTTCGAACGCAGTCTCGGCTGCCCCTGCTGCGTCTTCTCCGGCGATCCTCGACTCTGACAAACCCCCTGTAAGTGGTCTTAGCAACGAACAGTGGCAAACATTGGTCTCGCTCCTCAATGCCGGAAAAATCGGAGCTACGGAGACTATTTCTGGTATGTGCTCTAATGTCCCTTGGATACTCGACACTGGTGCCTCTCACCACATGACCGGATGTCCTGAGTTGTTGACGAACTTGTCTCCGATGACATCGTCGAGCATCATTCTTCCTGATGGCCGACAATCGTTCGCTTCTCAGTCCGGCTCCGTATTTTTGACAGCGCATCTTCATTTGTCGAATGTGTACCTCGTCGAGGGATTACATGTTAATCTCATCTCCGTCTCTCAACTATTGGACGATCGTGATTTCTTTCACGCGTCCTTTGCTGTGTCTGTTAATTTGGAGAGGCTGGTTGAGTGGTGTCTATGTTGTTGGATAACCATGTGCCTTTGATATGTTCTCTCCTGACATTAGAGACAGATCTTAATGCTTGTGTTCCGCTTTGGATGGTATACAAGTTTGGCTTTTCTGTTACATTATTCGGTACAAGCGTAACGAAAACCGCATCTAGATGAGAAAAACCCTCCTTTGCCTATTGAACCAAAGATCTTCGATTCATAAACTATCACCCAAAAGCAAACAGACTACTTCAATCATTATGGCGAAATCACAAGTGCCTGAGAGAGCTATAAATGATTCAAGATGTTATCGTCATGTCATCATATAAGTGAAATTCCAAAATCTAACGGGAATATACAGTTCCATTCATGAGGATGAGTAAGCAAGCAGGATATGCAACACATCCCTATACATCAACAGAAGAAAATCAGACAACTAAGCGACTCAAATTTCACAAATTTCGAACCGACCCAGGAGAAATCGAAACCAAATCAATAGGAAGAGACCAAATCAACCCACGAAAACCCAAGATCCAATCAACCATCGAGGAACAGCGCAATCAAATCACATGAAAAAAAAATAGATCGATTTTTCACGCCAAAAAAAACACGGGAAAAAATATGAACCTGGAGCTGAGCTGATGGAGAGGAAAGCTAGAGAGACAGAAAGTTTGGGTTTTGATGAGAACTTGAATCTCCCCGAACTCGGATCTGAGCGGCGAAGGGAGATAAAAAATAAAGAGGCCGAAACAAGGAAAGCGTTCGCGAGTTTTTATATTCCCTTCGCCTGCGGCGTTAGGGTTTTCCTCTTTGCAACTCATCCTCCTCTTTTTCCGAATTTCCTATTTTTTAAGTTTTCTGGCTTTGACGGCTCGCTCTGCCGCAGTTAATTCAGTGCCAACTCCACCTAATGAAGCTTCTGAATCAACAGATTCCGCATTTTTAACTCTTGGCTCCAATATGAAAATCTGTTAGCGACATCACGCAATCAGAACTCCAAAACTGGATTCTCGACAGGGGAGCAAGACTTGTCATTTTTCTCACTAAGTTAGAGCAATACTAGTATACTACTAACATTAACAAAGAAAGTAATTTAACGCTTAAAGAAAAACCTGCATACACTTCCTCTAGACCTCCATACAAAAACCAAACAAGAACATCCCAAAGCTGAAAGAATCTCACTAACTTTGATCCACTCTCAATTGTATTCTTAAACTTCAAGCAGCAAAACCAAGCAACTGCAAATTACCATAAGAAAAGGTTGGATTTTTTTATTTTACCTTGTTGGAAGCAATTGGGAGAATTTTCAGTGTCTGCTTCTCCTTGTCGAGAACACCAAGTGTATACACACATGTCTGTCCGGTGGCTCCCTCGCCGGTATAATTCGAGCCGACGAACTTCACGCTCGAGCCAGGTGGGCTCACCACGACCTGATAAAGGTTGTTAAGTTTTCTGGCTTTGACGGCTCGCTCTGCCGCAGTTAATTCAGTGCCAACTCCACCTAATGAAGCTTCTGAATCAACAGATTCCGCATTTTTAACTCTTGGCTCCAATATGGAAATCTGTTAGCGACATCACGCAATCAGAACTCCAAAACTCGATTGCTGAGACTCGGGATCGTCCCCTGGGTTCAAAGCTCGCATCTTTTTGTCCTGCAGAAAACAAATCAAATTAAGGAGTAAACCGATAACCAATCAATATCGTCTTTTCATGGACAGAATTGCCAAAAGGGCATCGAAGCGATACAACTGGGACATCAACGGCCATACCCGGTTTATAGCTGACTTTGTACCATAAAGGTTGTTAAGTTTTCTGGCTTTGACGGCTCGCTCTGCCGCAGTTAATTCAGTGCCAACTCCACCTAATGAAGCTTCTGAATCAACAGATTCCGCATTTTTAACTCTTGGCTCCAATATGAAAATCTGTTACCCGCGTTTGTACGGAATAGAATCTACAAGCTGCGGGATATCAAGGTGAGTGGTAACATTATATCGAAAAAGGTTCCAACTTTTGTGTCAGACTGATCAATGATGGTTTGGTAGTGGTTAATGAGCACAATTAAGAGTGTATTAATTAGGGAAACAAGCTCGGGTTTGTTACGACATGTTTCGTTTTGTTGGGCATTTGCAGGATGAGACGGAGAAGAAGACAATGTCGTGTATCTTGTCTTTCATCACCCATCTGGTGAAGTTCAAGGACGTAAAATCCATGAATGGTTACAACAACGCCAAGGACCACAGGTTTCCTGGGGTCATACAACAGAGATTCAAGTCAATGTTCAGGGATCTTGAATCGGACAGGATACCAACCGACAAGATCAACCTTCTGACAAGCTACGTGCTCGTGCTGACGCTTCACGTGGATGAGTTCAAGACCAGCGTGGAAGACATAGCCAAGGATCTGAGGATGAGCAGCATCGATCTCAGAAAGCATTACGAGCATCTGGGCTGCAAATGCTCGCGCGTCAAAACTGTTTTGCACGCAACCCTTCCCGTCCCTCTCAAGTTCCCCCAGGCCATGAGGAAGAAGAGACGTCGATAAGACTTACCCTTTCAAGACAGAACTCAGGGCATGTTCGCGTCCAGACGGGAAAACGGGTGTTTAATTTCGTTATTTTTTTTTTATCTGGAAGTTTTGCAATGGACGAAAGTTATTGTGTTGAGAATGTACTATTGTTTTTTATTTTTAAAAAAAAGGCAAAACGCTGTTTTCAACACTGTATGACTTACGAGAGAGATAGGAAACTCTGTTAATTACGGATTAAAATGGTGCATACAGAACCCAACCGGTGAGAGGGAGACGCTGCAGAGAAAACAGACGAGCGCAAACCCAAATCGCAAAATCACCATCGGCGTCTTGTAGAGTCGAAACCCTACATTGACTCATTCCTGTTGTTGTTTTGTTCCAAAAAAAAACAGACTTGGATACTTCGGAAGTAAAACCTAATAGACCTCTCGCCCCTTTCGATACTCTAATCAGACTCATCGTCCTCTCTTCGCTCGAAATCATGAATGTAGACGGATATGGAACGGATGAAACCCAAACCCTAAACCCGTGACCCGAGTTCTCAAATGCCACGCACCCGACCTCATGCTTGTTTCGGCCGAGCACCAGCACCAACGGATACCCACGTCTAGCCCTCGTTTCTTCGTGGATTCTTACAGCAGAGCAATGGACGTCTACTCATTGCTTTTTCTTTTCTACTCATGTTCCTCAAATGACATTTATCAACACTTGAAAGTTTGCTCTTCAGCTCATCAAACATGGTTCCATTCCAAAGTACAGATAAAATGACGGCAAAAGCATTTAACAAATCAAGCAATCGCCGGAGACAAGGACAGCAGTTCAGTTCAGACACTCGTCTTACTGAAAAGCTAAGTATCTTGCTCATCATCATCATCATCATCATCAACCCAACCAAATGTATAAACACATAATAGAATTTGGTCATCAAAACACAGTCTTGATCGAACACCGATCACTCTTTCTTCAATATATAAACGTCAGAATTTCGTAGAATTGTTTCCCCCTAAAGTTATTCGGTTGATCTTTCAACACATCGCATCTAAAATCTCCACACGCACAATAAAAAAAACTGATCATTGTTTCATTTGTTCCAGAAAAAAGAATGATGTTTTGGGTCACACCCAAAACAAGGTCTTGCGAATCGAAGAATATGGAAAATATATGAACTCACATAGATCGCCTTCGAATTCATATCGGTATGTATCTCTTGAAGATCTGTTTCCCAGCAACCGCAGCTCCGGCGGCTACCGCTCCGAGTGCTCCCGCCACCGCTGCCGACCGTACGCCTCGAGCTGCCCTGTATACGGCGCCGGTGCCAAGTCCCGCCGCGACGCTGCTCCAGACATCGTCCCGATCGGTGACAGCGACGACGCCGCTCTCGATCCCTGCGTAGATCAGACCGATCACACCGATCCTGTTTCCCCAGACGCGGCCGGAGTGGCCGGAGGAGTTGAGGATCCGATTGACCTTGAGCTTGGTGGTGTCTCCGGGCTCGAAGCTCTTGACGGCGGAGAAGAGTCCGGAGGCGGCGCCGGAGACGGATCCGGCGAGGTAAGCGGAGCCGGTGTAGAAGGTGAGGTTCTCGCCCCAGGAGCGGCGTTGGTGGAGAGCTTCTTCGGTGAAGAGGAACTCGGGAGAGGTAGGGAGCTTGTAGAGGTATTGAGATTTGATGGGAAGGTCGTAGTTTTGGTAGGGATTGTAGAGGCGAGTGGAGGGATCGGATTCGTGATCGGAGCCATGATTCGCCGCCATTGTTACGCGTGATCAAGGGGTTAGGGTTTGATGGTGGCGAATAAAGAAGAAGAGGACACTTCCCTTTGGACGCCTTCTCCAGAAATGACGCTCCCGGTTCACGCAAACCGGCCGTATTTGTACATACACTCGGTGTTGACCGCCTCATTAATTTTTATTTTTAAATAAACTAAAATTAAGTCGGTTCATTGAAATGTAAGCTTAAATGCCACTTTCTTCATTTATGATGTAAAAATCATTTCTGGCAATGGAATTATTTGCTCTTTTTCTTTTCAAAAGTTAATGGGAATTTTGGGGAAGATAGGAACAGAGAGACTGTCAGGAGCATCAAGTGCTGCAGCAGAAGCAACAAGAACACTGCCCTTTAAGACCTTTAGATTTTGCAGGACCAGTGACATAGTCCTACACCCCCACCACTGACACAAATATCTACATACATACTCTCGTGTGTGTATATATATCAGTATAATGTTTTTTTTTTTTGTCATTGCATGGCAAACTTCATAAGCTGTCCCTTCTTATGATTTGTTTGACCGTTTGTAAAAAAAAAAATCCTAAACCATTAAATCGGGAATATTACAAAAATACCTTTAAATGTCGATTTCACTTACATGACATACCCTTCAAAAAAAAACCTTCAAAAAAAATTGAAAAAGAATGAAAAGACAACGTTACCCCTTTTAAAAAATACACGTGTCAACATCTGAAGGAGAAAGTCCAAAAGTTAGGAAGTTATTAAATTAAAAAAATTTTAAAAACCAAACAGTTTTTTTTCCTTTTCGACAGACATTTTCATTTCTTCACAGTGTTGTTTCTTCTTCGTTTTCTCTTCACTCTTTGATTTTTCTGTGCGATCTTTCTGTGCACGGAGGAATGTTGCGTGAAATAATAGAATCAGTGCTTTCAAGAGCTTCCTTCTTGATTTCCATTTCGTTAAGTTTCCCCTCGAGGTGCTGCTGAGACTCGGGATCGTCCCCTGGGTTCAAAGCTCGCATCTTTTTGTCCTGCAGAAAACAAATCAAATTAAGGAGTAAACCGATAACCAATCAATATCGTCTTTTCATGGACAGAATTGCCAAAAGGGCATCGAAGCGATACAACTGGGACATCAAAAGGTTGTTAAGTTTTCTGGCTTTGACAGCTCGTTCTGCCGCAGTTAATTCAGTGCTAACTCCACCTAATGAAGCTTCTGAATCAACAGATTCCGCATTTTTAACTCTTGGCTCCAATATGAAAATCTGTTAGCGACATCACGCAATCAGAACTCCAAAACTGGATTCTCGACAGGGGAGCAAGACTTGTCATTTTTCTCACTAAGTTAGAGCAATACTAGTATACTACTAACATTAACAAAGAAAGTAATTTAACGCTTAAAGAAAAACCTGCATACACTTCCTCTAGACCTCCATACAAAAACCAAACAAGAACATCCCAAAGCTGAAAGAATCTCACTACCTTTGATCCACTCTCAATTGTATTCTTAAACTTCAAGCAGCAAAACCAAGCAACTGCAAATTACCATAAGAAAAGGTTGGATTTTTTTATTTTACCTTGTTGGAAGCAATTGGGAGAATTTTCAGTGTCTGCTTCTCCTTGTCGAGAACACCAAGTGTATACACACATGTCTGTCCGGTGGCTCCCTCGCCGGTATAATTCGAGCCGACGAACTTCACGCTCGAGCCAGGTGGGCTCACCACGACCTGAAGCCTCTTGCTCTTCGTCCCGGCCTTATGTCTATAAACCTCGACATCCGGACAGTGTCCGTCCCCATCGCCATCGCCATCGCCATCGGTTTTATCAGATGGGTCATACCCAGAAGCGAAATAGGCGACGATTGGAGCGATTCTGTCGGGTTTCTCCGAGATTTGCTTGACCCTGATGTTCATTGTCTCTTCTTTCTCTTCGTTGGGTTTCTCTTTCTCGTTTGTTGTTTGCTGCTTGTTCTTCTTTTTCTTCTTCTTCTTCTCTAGCTTTGATATTGGCACTTCTTCTTCGTCGAGGTAGTCATTCAGATCCGATTCGTCGGCCATAATTGAAAAACCCTAAATTTCATTCAACAATAAAACCCCAATCAGGATCGAAGAACCCTTATCCCTAAGACAGAGACGTACAGAACCTAATCGAAGAACTCTTACCCGTTTCGATGGAGAGGAGCGACGGCGACGGATCCTGGATGATTTCAAAGAATCCCCGGAAATTCAAGAGGAAATCAACGAAGATCGAAGAGGAAAAAAGGAAACAAAGATAACAGTGACAATCGAAGTAGGCAAGAGGATGAAAAAAAGGTTTAGGTCGAACGGGCGGCAAACAGAACAGAGCATCAACCGAAAGAACAGTCCGAAAAAGAAGTAAAGAGTTGGATTTAAAGACTCACACATCATTCAACTTCTGGTCAAACTGACGTGCATCGAACTGTGAACCCTCTGGTGCCGCACCTGCCATGACTGCAAACATAGAACATTAAGAGAAGTTAAAGAACAGAGAAAAAGGGGCAATCTCGCTAAACAACTTTCAAAAAAGATTTTCGCAACCGAATAATGTAACAGAAAAGCCAAACTTGTATATCATCCAAAGCGGAACACAAGCATTAAGATCTGTCTCTAATGTCAGGAGAGAACATAACAAAGGCACATGGTTATCCAACAGCATAGACACCACTCAACCAGCCTCTCCAAATTAACAGACGCGTCCTTTGCTGTGTCTGTTAATTTGGAGAGGCTGGTTGAGTGGTGTCTATGCTGTTGGATAACCATGTGCCTTTGTTATGTTCTCTCCTGACATTAGAGAAAAAAAAATTGAAAAAGAATGAAAAGACAACGTTACCCCTTTTAAAAAATACACGTGTCAACATCTGAAGGAGAAAGTCCAAAAGTTAGGAAGTTATTAAATTAAAAAAATTTTAAAAACCAAACAGTTTTTTTCCCTTTTCGACAGACACTTTCATTTCTTCACAGTGTTGTTTCTTCTTCGTTTTCTCTTCACTCTTTGATTTTTCTGTGCGATCTTTCTGTGCGAGTTCGTGTTTGCAATCCCTATATAGAAGTATTTAGATGAAATATATAATATTTGTTTAATGTTTTATGCATAATCCGAGTCTAAATATCATCATCATCATCATCGTCGCCATCATTTCATTTCATGTTTGTTACCATTTTCCTCAATTAGGTTATGGATTTATGTTTCTTAGTCTTGTGTATATATTTTTTTTACTTGTAAAATGCTTTTGTTATTGAGAATCCACGTCATAATTGAGATTCCACGTCATAAAGGTTCAAAAGCTATCGCGGGTATTGATAGACAAATTGCACATAATTACTTTTTTTGTTAAAGCCATTTCTTAAAATGCTCGATTTTTCTCAAATGGATTTGGAATAATTTATACCCAAATAATATAATATATGCTTTTTTTTTCATGGTTATATCTACAAACTATAATATAAATGAAAAATAATAATACCAAGTATTTAATAGAGTAAAAGGCAGAAAAATACACGGTTTTTGGGCAATAGGCATCATCATATGTCATGATGTCAAACCCAAAAGGGTAATAATTAAGCAGGGACAAGGGTAAAATAGGAAATTCGGAAAAAGAGGAGGATGAGTTGCAAAGAGGAAAACCCTAACGCCGCAGGCGAAGGGAATATAAAAACTCGCGAACGCTTTCCTTGTTTCGGCCTCTTTATTTTTTATCTCCCTTCGCCGCTCAGATCCGAGTTCGGGGAGATTCAAGTTCTCATCAAAACCCAAACTTTCTGTCTCTCTAGCTTTCCTCTCCATCAGCTCAGCTCCAGGTTCATATTTTTTCCCGTGTTTTTTTTGGCGTGAAAAATCGATCTATTTTTTTTTCATGTGATTTGATTGCGCTGTTCCTCGATGGTTGATTGGATCTTGGGTTTTCGTGGGTTGATTTGGTCTCTTCCTATTGATTTGGTTTCGATTTCTCCTGGGTCGGTTCGAAATTTGTGAAATTTGAGTCGCTTAGTTGTCTGATTTTCTTCTGTTGATGTATAGGGATGTGTTGCATATCCTGCTTGCTTACTCATCCTCATGAATGGAACTGTATATTCCCGTTAGATTTTGGAATTTCACTTATATGATGACATGACGATAACATCTTGAATCATTTATAGCTCTCTCAGGCACTTGTGATTTCGCCATAATGATTGAAGTAGTCTGTTTGCTTTTGGGTGATAGTTTATGAATCGAAGATCTTTGGTTCAATAGGCAAAGGAGGGTTTTTTCTCATCTAGATGCGGTTTTCGTTACGCTTGTATCTTTTAAAGGATCTCTGTGTTGTAGTTCTGGATTTGATGAGCGATATCCTTGAATTCTCTTTCACGCGTCCTTTGCTGTGTCTGTTAATTTGGAGAGGCTGGTTGAGTGGTGTCTATGCTGTTGGATAACCATGTGCCTTTGATATGTTCTCTCCTGACATTAGAGACAGATCTTAATGCTTGTGTTCCGCTTTGGATGGTATACAAGTTTGGCTTTTCTGTTACATTATTCGGTTGCGAAAATCTTTTTTGAAAGTTGTTTAGCGAGATTGCCCCTTTTTCTCTGTTCTTTAACTTCTCTTAATGTTCTATGTTTGCAGTCATGGCAGGTGCGGCACCAGAGTCCGGTTTGACTCTTTGGTTGACGAGTTTGACTTATATATATATATATATATATATATATATAATTCCTCATATGTAGGATATCAATCTGTGCAAGAATCTGAAAATGATCAAGAGGATGTAGAAACTGCACAGAACGAGCAAAGTATGATCTTACACGTCAAACACGTCAAACTCGTCAAACTCGTCAAACTCTCTGATTTGGCGAATTTATCAATTGTGAACCACGAAAATGTTAATAAGCACCTCGTATAACAAATTTGATAAGTAAATAATAATCGCAGCTATCTAAATTTAGCACTTTATTTTGTGTAGCAATGCATGTTCCCCCAAACGAAACCCTAATGTTCTATTACACTTTATGTTACACATTGGTCTAGCGTAGAATTTATCATTTTCCCAGATGCTCTCCTTATAACAAAAACACGTTCAATACG